GGAACAAACCGGCGCCGCCGCCGCTTACCCCGGAGCGTGCATGCGACCCATGATGGCGCCGGGCAGCGAAAGAAAGACCAGAGGGAGGCGGGGGCCGTGGCTCACCCTTCCGCCGGAAGAGACGTCAACGCGTAACTCCGCCCTGTCCGCGCGCCGGCCAACCAGAGAGGCGCTCTCCTCACCCGTTCCGAGGGAGGACCATGGCTCCCAGCATGCACTGCGGCAGGAGGAGCCTTCCCAGCTGGCGCTGGGGACGGGCGAGAAATCCCGGCCTGCACTGCGGCTCCCCCGGCACAGACAGGCCCGGGAGGGCGGGTCGCAGCCCCACTAGCTCCCGCCGCGGCTGGCCCGGGGGAAGGCGGGGAGGGGGCGGGAACAGCTGCCGGAGCGGGACGCCTGACGGGGGAGCGGCCTGGGCGCCAGCGAACCGCTTCTAACTGACCCTCCCCAGCGCCGTTAACAGGCAGCAGGTGTAACGCAAACCCCGGGAACGCCGGCGGGGAGCGCGGGGCCAGGGGGCTCGTGAAGGCCAAAACTGTAACCGGATTTACAAAAGCATCAGCGAAACTCATGGAGGTTGGGTCCAGCTCTGCGTGTTCGCCCAGCTGGTCAGATACAACCTCATGCTCGGGGTGGGCCTGGCCCGCTGTCAGGAGCTGGGGCTGGATCCACTCGAGCAGCTCTCGTCCTCATTGCCTCTAAAGCAGCTGATGCCAGCCACTGGTGGAAGACAGGACCCTGGGCGGGACAGGCCTTTCGTCTGACCCGCGCTGGCCATGCTTCTGCTGGGAGCCTGCACAGCAACAGCCCCACTCGAGGCTCAGACTCAAAGAGGCACTATGTGCCCCCCCCAGCACTAACCGAGACTCCAGTCCTCAAAACAAGGCACACGGTCTCTAACCCCTGCTAAATTGGGAAAGTAAAAGCCTGGGTGCCCACAGCACCTTAGCCTGTGTCAGAGGCAGATGGGGCCTGCGCCCACACCTGCTCATGTCACACTTCTCACCATATCCAGACTAGGCCCCAGGGCACTCACCTCTGCAACTCTGGCAAGACGCAACAGTTGTGTAAACAGCCAGGGAAGAAGGTGACAGCAAGGATGAGGCCATGTGCATAAGTAGCCTCCGTGGTCAGAGTAGGCACAGGTAGTGAAAAATATTTTTCTTCCTACAAATAAGCAGCACTGCCAATTGTCCTAGCCTGCCAAGCAATATATTCCTTACCATTAATCTAGTACCCTAGAAAAGTACTGCAGTTTCCTAGTCTGGTTAATGGTCAATGTTCTAAAGTGGCTATTTTCTCCTAATATTTCTTCCTGGTGACATTTCCACAGGTGTTGACTAAATTCTTTGAATCTTGCCATTTCCAACAATTTGTAAGTTTCATATGCAAAAGGTTAGACTATGTGAGATGGTTCATTTTTCCTTGCAAGTCAGGACACTGAGTGCTGCAGTTTATATAGTGCACTCAGCTCCTGCCAGGGGAAGAAACCCCTTCCTGTCAACCCCAGCACCAGATGGGCCATGCACAACTTACTCTTGTAGCATCCAGCAGGTGTTTTGCTCAGAACGTCTGTGCATCATGTTCACCAGGCTGCAGTGCTCTGTTAGGTATTGGTAGTTAAGACAGGCACAGACAGCTGCATCTGCACCACTATCCTATCCCCCTTACTCCCATCTGTAAAAAGCAACAAAGAGTCCTGTGGCACTTTATAGACTAACAGACGTATTGGAGCATAAGCTTTTGTGGGTGAATACCCACTTCGTCAGATGCATGTGGTGGAAATTTCCAAAGGCAGGTATAAATATGCAGGCCAGAATCAGTCTTGAATGTTTAGTCCTACAACTTTAACCACACTAGGATTCTTTTAGAAAAAAGTTGGTGCAAATGTGATTGTAGAGGGAGGAAAATACTAAAAAAGTTGAAGCCTTCAGAGGAAAGTCTTTTGAATACAAGTAATATTACTTTATCCATTATTCACTGAGTCTTACTGGACTTCTAACCCAGTAAGGACAAATTATAATTAACCACTTTCCATTGACTTGAGCTGATTTTTTACACCTGTATCAAACACTCTTCCTTGAGGTTAATCTTACAGTTTTTTTCCCCCTCCTGCTTTAAAAGGGCATCAGGTTGAAGGGAGAAGAAACATACTAAGTCAGAATCATACATGCATACCTAAGAAATGGAAGGATTAATTCCTGAGTGAATTAAGTAGTATTTATTGATTTCGTGAGATACAGTAATAGTTGGAAATGGTAGCCTTTGGTTTTTGCTGCTGATTGCCAGTGCATTAACTCAGGATTTCATAGCTCTATGTACAGAGTTTAGGTTAATTTATTTTTATTGACCACAAATCTGCTACTTAATCATTTTTCTTCTATACTCTCCCTTCCTTAAGGTTTCTAAGGATGATTCCAGCCCTTCCCCACTGCCCAGCTGTAGAAATAAGTGTTTTGCATTTTACATGCACACAAATATAATTTGGTGGGATTATCACCATGCTGAGGTTTCCCGGTGAGGAGAGGAACCCTAACCCCAAATTTGATAGAATATGCTTAAGTGAACCATAAGTTAGGCTATGATTTAGTCATGGGTATTTATAGTATGTCATGGACAGGTCATGGGCAATGCACAAAAATTCACGGGCCTGAGACCTGTCCACGACACACTAGAAATACAGAGGTCGCTGCTGCGGCACCAGCTGCCTGGAGGGGGGCAGGGAAAGGAGTGGAAAGGGAGGAGACCAATGACAGACCCACTGCCCCAGGGAAGCGGCTGCACCAGCTGCTGCTCAGGCAGTCCCCAGGGCTAGTTTCCTATGGCTGCCCGAGCAGCGGTTGGTGTGGGTGGCTGTGGGGCCACTCCAGCAGCAGCAGGTCTGGGTGTCCCCAAGGCCACCTAAGCAGCTGGCCCCAAAGCCAGCTGCTTGGGCAGCCCTGGGGTCAGCCACACTGGCCCCCACAAAAGTCACAAAATCTGGACTTCCATGACACAAACGAACCCCTAACCATGGAAGATACCGGCTAAATCCCCTGCACTGAAAGTTTCAACTAGGATGTTTACAAAGCTCACTATTAGGGTTAATTTAATACTGACATACTAAAAAAAAAAAAATAATAATCTGCTGTTTTTTAGCTTTATAGTCAAGCGTGCACAATACAGCGCTGGGTATTTTGAATACTTAAGGCCAAGTTGTATCTTGACACATGTAGACTTTTCCTTTTGGCTTTCAAATAAAGTTGCACACATCTTAGGGTAGAGTTTGGCTTCAGAGGTTTTTGTTTGAGTGGAGAAGGGAGGGAAAAGAGACAGCACAAGTTTTTTATTCCAGAATAGTGTTTAATGTAATCGTAAAACAGTTATGGAGTCACATTTAACCCATTCATTACAGGTAGGGTTTTGATGGCAATATTGTGCATCTTTATTAGCTATCAGTATAATTGAAATATTTGGTTCTTACAGATGTATAGATAATGTGAGGCAAACTACCATATTTGCTCCCAATGAGTTTTACCAATACCATCTATGAAATATTTACACTATTTTAATCACAGTATGTGAGTAAATAGCATACAAGGAAATTAATTTCCTGTGGATTATGAGAATGGTGCAACATTGCCCAAACATTTTCCCCCTCTATGTAACATGCATATCCTGCAAATACCAGAAATAAGATTTATTTAATTTGAAAAAAAAAATCACCATATTAGAATCCTAGAAAGAGCAGTCACTTTAAGGCAAGATAGAGATGTCTACACAACCTTATTTTTAAAAATAGAGAAAATGAACTTTTTATCAAAGATCACACACGCTTCTACATATAGGTACCTGTAGATCATAAAAAGGCAGTAATAAAAATATCAGTGCAAAGTCCTAGGTTAGGTTATTTAGTAGAGAAAATGAGGTGGTAACTGTTCGTAGAGCAAGCTGTTATTTTCAAATATCAAAACATGTTCCTTAGAGACAATTCTATTTCTGGCTGCAGGCCACACATGTTGCATAAAATGTAATCTTTTTACTAGATCAAACAAGGTATAAAAAGCTGTTGAGACTATATTCATTTTAAAACATCAAATGAGTGTTCTGATAAATTTCATCCCAATTTTAGTATGTTCCTTTATCATGCTTATTTTTATTTATCCTTTAATAAGAAAAGAAACAGTTTCTCAAAAGTCTTGACCACTGATTTTTTTCTAACCCCTCAAGAATAGTGCAAAGAGATGCAAACTCAGTGCTGTTCCTCTAGTATTTTCCTGAGGACCCAAGACTAGATTTTACAGACAAAAAATTAAAACGTGATCCTAAAAAGCTTGAGCCAATGTGAATTTTGTGAGGGGAGGGAAAGGCACAGAAATCAGTTGAGCTATGAAGAACACTGTTAACCAGAAGTCAGGACAAATGCTAACAATCATACAGTACTACATATTTTCTAACTGAAGTCCAGACAACTGTCAGTCGCAAAATCAAATTTTTAAAAAAGCATTAAGTTTCTACTTATATTTTGTGCTGTAAGACACTGTGCTGTAATAACACTGCAAAAAGGCAGTATGTATTGCTTTCAATTTATTTAACAATGGAACGTTTCACAAAAACAGTAGTCTACTTTCCTGTGTCTACGTGACTTGTGGTTTTGATGATGGAATGGAATAAGTCTCAAAAGCATCAAGTGAGCAGGAAATAAAATCTAGTTATATTTACTGTATGTTACTATTTACATGCTATATACTGAAGGAAAAAATTATGCACACGATAGCTAATAAAACTGGGATTTTGGATTTTATTTTAACTAGCTCCTATTAGTAACAACCCAGTTTAACATTCAGAAAGACATTCTTAGATTTTTATTGTAATAATTCCTAAGAAATTGGACCATGAATGTTTTAGGCACCAAAAGAAGCTTTAAGTGTACTTTTCAATTGTACTTTGCTCTTCTGGGTTGGAAAGATGATTGGTCATTGTACTGGGGGGGGGAGGGGGGAGGGGAAGAAGGAGGGGGGGGGAATCTAAAGAGCATTTTATTGCTGGGCAAATAAAATCAATTGTGACTTTCCTGTGCTGTCTTCATCATTGCATATTTTACTTTAAGTTCCTTGCTAGTGACAGTCAGTACTATAGTCTATCACGGTCAGCCTTCATTGAAAAATGTTTCTAAAATAGTGCTAAAAATTATAGTGTGTGATTTTACAGTCTTCATACAGCTTTGTCCAAAGAGAACAGACTGTGGTCACCATAAAACTGATAGGTGAATAAGAAACCTATACATGTAGTGCAGCCAGACCCAGTGGAGTAACTAATCACATGCATGAGACAGTAAATTGTATTTGCACCCTCTGATTTTAAATATTGTTGTATCACATAAAGGAATAAAATTTATCAAGAGTTATTTTTACAAGAGGTGAGGGACTGACAATACTAGTCTGAGCCAAGTATATCTGCCAATGCAAATCATTTCTGACCTGCAACATATCTGCTCTTGGTGTCCTATGTTTTTCAAGTAGGGAGAATCAATTATGTGAAGTTGTGGGGTAAAGTATTTTCTTATGTGTAAATAACATTTGTGACCCGATAGTTGAACCCAAGTCCCTAGATGAATCGCGAATGCATTTGCTGACTGCACTACGGAGGTCCTTGAAATTTTAAGAACTGTTTTAAAATGCTGGAAGACCACACACTCACATGGCACCACAAACAACCAGTCTTCATTCAAAGTTTGCAAATCATCAGTGACTTGCACAGAGGACTTCACTTAAAATCAACTGACTAATCTTACTCAGATAGCTGGTATAAAACTCAAACTATGTCTAAGAAACTGAATAAGTTTCCCAAAGAAAAGATTCAGTAGGTGGTGTCATGAATCTGCCTCTTTTAAAGAGCTGGATAAGAGTTTGTTAAACCTGGCTAACAGGTAACTATTTTTAAATTTCAGAAATGAGGTACAAGAATTTGAATTATAAGGTAAGGCACCATTATTTACAACTTCCATTATGGCACTCATTCTGATAAATGTTTCAGATGCATTTAATCGCAAGATTCGAATGTAACAATTTTTCCAGCTGTTCTGTCCAATTTCATTTCTGACAGTTTGTGCAACCACTGACATTTTACTGATCATTGCTGCACCAATGAATGGTGAATAGCGGATATATCATCAGAAACCCCCCACATCTTTCCTCTGGCATTCTACAGCACCTTGCCATATATAATGTAACAGGTAACAGAAAAGATTACTTGTACTATATCCACAGGGCAAGAGATTAAATGTGGTTGAACTGATACAGTAAAGCCAGAATAAACTACCTGAAGATTCCAGGGATGGTTTAAAACTTTAGTTACCCACAAGTACTATGATTACAAAATTAATTTACATTAATGCTTGGATATTATCACATAAGCCTAAAACAGGTGGTTTCTAGAAATCCTGTGGTTTCAGCTTGGTGAGGGGTTGGTCCAACACGTGTTGAAACGCAGAGTCTCATTTTAAAATGTCCAAGTTATTTTCAAGTAGGAAAAATGCACCAAACACAAGTGTGCAGAACTGTTTCACTTTTGTTATTTTCTGCTGTAGGAGTTCACAGATATGGCACAGCAGTCAGCTGATACCAGTTAACAGTCTCCTTCCTCAAGTTGAAATCCTTTAGGGACAGCATAACTCCACCCAGAAAGAAGTTCTCACGCAACGATTCTGCACTGAGCACACTTAGCTGAAGTTCCCTCTGCTTCAAAGTCTCCTTACTGTATCCACTGTACACAAGCTATGAAAAAAAACCACAGCCAATGAAAGCCAAGACATTTTATTTGTTAGATGTCCAGAATAAGTTATAAGGACTGCTGGTGGTTAAAGTAAAGGGATGGGCTTGATGGCGTCATTAGGCCTATATATGAACCAGAGTTCTTCCATGTTTAAACTCGGTCCTTCCATGTTTAACTTTAAGTGGCCTCAAAAGCCAAGGACAGGAATTGGAATGTGTAAATAGTCAGTTACCTATTACGACCTTGCTTATAACCAGGTCCTAAGCAATAATGATGAGGTTTGCATGTTTCTAGCTGGAGGAGGGGTAGTAAACTAGAGTAAATAGGACCCAATGATTGTTTAGAGGAATGTTACTAACAAGCTAGATTTATAGCCCTAGAATGATTTAACGGCTTAAATGTATAAACATGTCTTCGGTAGAAAGGGGAGGGGGAGTGGGGGGGGGTGATACAGGGGGAGAGAAGGGAGGGCTTAATTGTAAAGTATAAGAAGAGAGAAGCTGCTTTGTTCTGTGTGCTCGATTTGAGATTTGCCTGTCTCCTTGCACCACTTTGAGATCTCAAATAAACCTTTGATTGTTTCTCCACCCCGGTGTGTTTATTGGCGCGAAGCACGCCGGGCAACGAACCCCTGTTGCTTTGCCTCGGGCACCTCTGTGCCAGCAACAGGCTCCTGGGTTGTTCTCCTGGGTCTACTACCAACTTGCTGTGTGACCCTGGGCAAGTCTGCATCTCAGTTATCCTTTGTAAAAAGGGGATGTTTATCTGTTAGAGGGGTGTTGTGTAACTTTGTTTAAAGTATCCTGAGGAGCTCGGATGGAAGATGCTGGGTAAGTGAAATGATTGCTAAATCCAATCAGTTCAGAGCAACCAGAGAGCAAGTGATGCGGGTTATGGCCAATGCATTTTGTGAATTCTAATTAGAATATGCCAATCAATATTTGTCTAAGATTTTTTTCCCCCTTCCAGAGTTACAATCTTTTTTGGATTATGGGATAAGAAAGGGAGGGAAAAAAATCTGGAACAGGAGTGTGCGCATTTAAGGTACAAAGCTTTCAGAGTGCAAAGCAATTTACTGAGATGTGTTTGACAGGAATTTACCAGAATTTCAAATAAATTGTAGTCACCAGCATGTATTTATGAAAGAAAATTATGGAATCTTTACCAGGTAACTGATTTTTCTTACCATCTCATTGAATGTTGGGTTCCTTGTTTTTCGTGTGATTTTGGTTTTGCGTTTAGATGTTTTGTTTATATCTGGAAGTAAGTATGTTTTTACATAAGGATTTGGATCTGCACCATCTTCAGTAACCTGTAAATACAGAGCATAACAACTAGCCTTCATTCTATTTTAATGTATTCCATTTGAATATCTTTTCCTCCAAAGAAATGCATTAGAGTCTATGTTCACCCCAATTACCTAACATATGAGCAACTGCTCATAATCAGACTAACTGAAGACAAATGTGTTTTAAGAAGATACTTCCATTCTGTCTCACATTCACACCAACATCCCACAGCATTCTATATCAGTCATTCACATAATACAAGTTTGTGAATTTTTGGTTCACTTTCTTCACTCACCAGGTCTTTAATGTGCATCACCATGATAAACAGAGTGCCATTTCTATATGAGATAGACAACTTTACTTCTCCTCCCACTTTGCCTGAGGTAGGACTTGATGGACTTGCATCTAAAAATATGGACACACGTTATTATCCGTCACACAATTGTCCATCAGTACCACTGTACTAAGTTAATTAAGTGTACTGAAAACTGACAAATGTAAGACTTATGCCAAGTTCACGTCCTTTTTTCAGTTTTTATCAGTGTGTCAGGAACTTTTTACCTCCAAAATTGGCAAGGTCTGGGTACCCAGAAAGAATAGATATTCTAACAGGAATCAACATGGAGGATTAGAGTGAGAGAATTGGAGTATTTATTTGATCTGATTAATAAAAGCATTAAAAATAAGCAAGAAATTCTCACTTATGTGCAATTTTTATTTTGATTGAGCTGTAACCATATGGTGTAGGATTTACCTTGAAAGACATTTTCAAAGTAAAGGAGGCTTGAATTTGATATGAAAATTGATTATTTTTTCATGAGAGGAAAAAGATTAAAATGAGGAATCAAAAGATGGATTTTATACTGTGCAGTACTTTCAAGTTTTTCGTGTTATATTGCAGTCATTCAATTTACCCAAAATAACTTGTGTGCCTACCTGCAGGCTTAGCTATTCCATCTATTCCTTCAGCTTTCTCATCACGAAGTAGAGGGTGAAAAAAAGTATAAACAAGATCACACTGCATTTGGGAAAAAGGTTACATGTTAGCTTAAAAAGTACTAAAATGTGAGAGAACTAATTTTATTTAAATGCTTTGAGCAGTCACCTCTGACACCTCTGCTGAACTGTTCATCAAACTCTGTATGTAGCTGTTCAGCTCTACTTTTCTTTTGGCTGCTACATCCTTTATATGAGTTCTTCCCAGAACCATCTTATTAGGAAAGCTACAAGAGAATGACAATGTATTTTGTTGCTAATTTTACTGATGTAAGTTAAGATTTAAGTACAAACTAAATCCTGAACTGCTGATATGCATTCTTGGTGATGACTTGAGACAAAGCACAGTAGTGTATTACATTTGCTATATTCAACATTACACACAAAAAATACATTCAAACAGCATTAGGGTTGCAAAGCCACATGCTCGTAAGTGTCAGAGTCAAGGTGCAAATTTAATTCAACTCCTTTGTGTATATGCGTTGTGATGCAGTCTTTAAGTACATGCCATACCTTCCACGAGACCCTTGCCTTATTCAATGCACAATTAATAAGCAGCTACTTACTATTTTGTTTTCTGATTGTTCAATGTAGTTCAGATTACCTTATATGTTTAAAGCATAGCTTCCACTGACTTCAGGTGCAGCTGTCCAGCCCTTCTGCAAATTAGACCCCTGGGTCTAAAGTCAAGCACCCAGAAAAAAAACTGAACACACTATCTGTGAAAAAGTTTAAGTGACTTGCCCAGCATCAAAGGAACTCTGAAAGAATGAGGGAGAGAATACAAATCTCAAGGGCAGCATTCAGCTGCCTTAATCATCAGACCATCCTTTGTCTTCCTGCCCTCTCCAGCCTCATTCACTACACACACCTACCACCTTATGAAGCAGGAGTCTTACACACAACAACCTCCTTCACCACATAACCCGCTTCATCCCAGAGCAGGTCCAGCCTGTGCACTGAATGAGGCTGGGGTCCAGTGAGAAAAAAAAAAAAAAAGCATATGGTCATGTAACCAATGACTACATCATAATGCTTATACACAAATCGAATTAAGGTTGCCTGGCCACCCTTAATTCTAGCACTGCCTAACTTCTGAGTGCTTAACTTTGCAACCTTAACATGGGGGGGCAGAGGGGGGGGAAGGAGGGGTGGGTGGGTGTGTGTGTGTGTGTGTGTGTGTGTGTGTGTGTGTGTGTGTGTGTGTGTGTGTGTGTGTGTGTGTGTGTGTGTGTGTGTGTGTGTGTGTGTAAAACCACCTAGGTTTTTAAAAAAAAGCTAACTAAAGACAGAAGTTCCATATCGACACACATGGGTCCTCAGCAGGGTTGGAACCTTGAGAGCCATCGCACAAAACTTCTACCACTTGAGCTAATGGAGTGATTGACAGCAGGTTGATTGATAGGTGATCATCCTGCATGTGGACTAGCACCATAGCAGGATGGGACACTTGCTCAGTGGGTTTCACAGATATTTTCTGACAGCAGAGATAGGGAGACTTTATCCCAGTCTACCACCCACAGGTGCAGCTCTTATCTGAATCAGGTAGCTTCTTCCTCCATGCTACCTTGGCCAGCAGGGGCATCACAGAGCACAGGAAAGACAGGTCCCTGCTCTCAGATCCAGCCCTGGTACAGCCCACAGCAGCAATTGCAGAGAAAGTACTGATCAGTTATGGGCTGGAGCATGCTCAATGTGGACAAAGTCTTTGGGGAATTTAGCTGCTAAAATATAAGGAGTCTCTACTGAACATATGCAAACTGATTATTCAAAGGTTTAGATCTTAGTCAAATGTGAGTGGATTTTTATAGGGATGGCAAAAGGTACATCCCTTACAAAAAGGCCACCTGCCAACTTTTCATTCCAATTTTATCAGGGCATCGTGGAAATTGTTGTGACCCAAATGTTAGCAGCTCTGAAACGCTTTCAAAAGGGAACTAAAGATAAGTCTTAAAATAAGAAATGCTTTGTATATCTGAATGATTTGAACTTAGGAAAACCAAGTACAGCAAGTTGATGTCTTAGTAAGCAAAGAAACACCTCCCCTCTTCAAAGAGAGACAGTGGCTAGTTTTTCTGTCATCTATGATTAGATATATTTCTGGATGTGAGCCCAATAGAGTAAAGGGTGAGAACTTCCCCTTTTAACACTTATGCCAACACTGGAAAAAACTCCATGAAAGAAAATTTAATATAAAATTCCTTTGTCTACATAAAGGACAGGAGGTATCTTAGTTAATTAGGAACATACCCTGGTAACTTCCAAAGAGGAAAGAGAATACCGAGTTTGTTGTGAAGTTCCTGGAACTCATCAAATGTCCGGAAGACAAATGTTGGTTCAACTTGCCCCTCTCTCAAGACTCTCACCACATAGATCTGCCAATAAAAAAAAGAATACTTCAAGACATTAACTAACAGCAGCTGTTTTTCCACCCAAATAGATTTTTCTGTGCAATATTTGTATTCCAAGACTAATTGGAGAGAGAGAGAGAGAGAGAGAGAGAGAGTGTATGTATATATATATATATATATATATACACACACACCCACCCATTGTCTTCATAAAGGACATTAAATATGTTCATCCTGTAATGTAGATCTATGTATTAGTACATACAGATGAAGAAAATAGTGCCAGTTTGGCTCAGTAGTTACTCTACCCTTCTAAACCTGGAGGTTCTGGGTTCAGATCCCACACCAGGACTTGGGTTTGTATGGATAAAAACACCAAGCTAGTTTTAATAGAGTTGTGAGTTTAGCCTTTCATCAGTTGGTAATTCATTCTCTTGCTTTAGGATAACAGTTTAGAGGAAATTTTAATTAGGACAACAGCCTGAGACCAGTATTCTAGACTAGAGCACTATACAGTGGATCAGAAACACAACACTAACTTTGGAAATTGGACAATTCTGGTTTCAGATTTGCATAGTTGTACTATGTTCAATTTAAAGTTGCAAATACAAGCCTGCTTTTTCAAAGATCATGGGGTTCTTGAAATCATAGCCTGTCCAACATGATCAAGATCTGTGGCTTGAGTCCCCCCAATTTTGGGATGGCAGATTCCAATGCTTGCTGCCTCTAGAGTCTGTGTTCTGGTTCTCAAAGCCCCAAGTGAAAGATTCTGAACAGACTGGCAGAGCAGCTACATTCCAAGAGGAACACTATGGTTTGTTATATATTTTATTATACACTAGAAATTCAGAGTTAAACACATTAAGGTATGGAAATGCAGTTAGGGCATTGCAATAACCATAACTGTAGCGACACCATGCGGAAAAAAAAAAAATCTAATGAGTCTTTAAAAACAATTTAATCTCGGTCCACAACCTTAATCATATTGTTATTGCATAGTGTTACTACAGGGTTGTTTGGGTACGCTAACTGTATTTTCTCCATTCCTTAACGTGTCTTTTTTTTATTTTTTTTAAAAGCACATTTAATCTTAACTCTTAATTTCCTGGTTATAAATGTTTGATTTAGGAAGAATTATAGTAAGCCTGTAATGTACTCTACACTAAATTAATTATGTACACTATAATGTTCTGTTCCCATTCTTGGTAGATAAATATGCGGCTGAGAGAAACAATGGAATCAACGCATTTAGGAATAGCTATGTTTTGCTTTTTTACTTTTGGGGCATAGACTAATTCTCTGCTGATGAGTTTAATTTATTTGGAGGAAGAGATCATGTGACTAAAGTGAATGGCGGAGAGGAAGTATGGAGGTGGCAGCAAGCACAGTGAGTATTTACAAATTGGAATAAAATCCACACACTTACATAATGTTTATCTGGGTTGTACCTCTTTTGGTACGTAAACACGGACACTTCCTTGATTCGACCATCTTGTCTAAGTGAATAGGTTTTGGGAGAAAATGAGAGAATGGGCTCATCATTGGAAGGTAGGCCTGAAAAACGCAGCTGAGCCAGGTTGTGAATGAAGAAATTAAACTTTGTGGCAACACTTCCCAAACTGGATTCAATCAGCCTATAAAAGAGAAAATAACTTCAAATGCTAGAGCACAATTACATATTCAGAGCACACATTCCAATTGTGTTAGCACCTTAAGCTTCCAAGTTCTAAAATATATCAAATCCTCACTGAGGTAAAAGGACACATTATGTTTTGACAAAAAAATGGTCACTGGTCCATTGACATGACAACATTTCTGCATGTACTGGGATATCCAATACTCCAATTTTGGGTAAAGTTAAAGATTGAACAACAAAGGTCATCCAGAGGTTTGTCAAGGCTGTATGCATATCATATTTTTCATTAACTTGGGTTAAATGATCAATGAACTATATACTGCAGGAGATCCAGTAGTTCACTTAGTGAAAACTGGATACAGTGAAAATATTTATAATTAGATTTCTGAACTGTTTCCAAAACATGGCAAACTGCAGTTCCAGTGAGAGTTTTTCTTCACAAGAGGGTTCCCACTGTAAACAGCTTTAGAAGAGTCATATTAGCTATGGAATCAATTTAGGGAATATTTCCTCATGAATGTGCAAGTCTGATGGACAGCTAAATAAAGCTGTTAAGCTATCACTACTCCCAGCATTTTATGTATTAGAATGTTCACTATTAGATTTTTTTTTTTAAATAAAACAGCCTCAACATTTTAGCCCAACATTTAAGCATTTGAGAAAATGAAGTTATGTACATCTCTCAATTAGTGATAGATAACAGATTAGTATTTTATAATTACAATAATTTCAAAACTACTGAACTTTTATAAGCTGTAAGTATTACAGTGTTTCAGTGTTTTAGTATCATAGTGCAGACCTTCTAATAGAAAAAAGTAGTGAGTTTATATATTTTGGTTCTGTTTCACTTGTCACTTATCTAGTACCTTGTAAAGAAAATAGTAGCTTCTGCGTCTGTAGTTTGGGGCTGAAGAGCATCTTGGACATATTTTAAGTCTTGAACTCCAGTAAGTTCTGGTAACCCTGAAGAAAGCATCTATAGAAGACACAAGTTACTATTTTTACATTGGAAAGAGAATATCAAATCTATTTTTACATTTAAATAATTAAATAATTAAAACACTAGGGCCCCAAACTTGATTGGGGAATTGTGTACTACATTAAATACTATTGCTATTAACCAACAACTACTGCCACCACCCCCAGTATTTCCACAGGAACACTACCAAATTTCTGGCTCGTAACAGCACATGTTTAGAAGTGCTTCTAAAGTATAAATGCCAACAATTTAGGTTTTTTGTATAGACTGGATTTGTCAGAAGCTATAACTTCCTAGAAGTGAACTTAATAAAATCCACAGTTAAACTACACGAAAATTATGTGCAATAAAAACTATTACCAGTGAAAGCAGGTTCAGAAAGAGGTTTGCATGTTTCCTGATCAAATTGTAAGCTTGGCAGCAGAGATCCACAAACAATTGAAAACGAATAGTAGGTTTTTCACCACCATTAATGACATAGGCCATATCTGATGTTAGCACAAAAGGAGCCCGATCCCTGTTTAAAAAAAGCAAAATACACAGTTTATTAAAATGACTGTTTCTTGGACTTTCATGGACTTTTAGTTGCAATTTACTAAATGTAATTACTACTCTAAAACAGTATTTTTCCAAGAACTTGAACTACATGCATTCATCAACCACTGCACTTGCAGGGAGCAAGTCAGTCTCACTCACAGGGTATGATCCATTCTTGCTAATTATAATGTTACAGCCATGATTTTAAAGGGAAGATTATTCTTTCCAAAGAAATCATATTTAATAATTCATTAATACAAAGTTTTCCTCTGTGACCAGGTAACATCAGAAAGTAATAATTTCCAGCCAAAAAAACTTTAAGCTAGGTTAAAGTTGTAAATGTAAATCAATTATATTTGAAAACATCCAAACGCCAGGGAATTAAAAGTTAAGTTCTTCAAGTGCCTGTTCATGTCAATTCCAATCAGGTGTCTGCGCACCATGTACACAGTTGTTGGAAAGTTTTCCCATAGCAGCTCCCGTCAGGCGCCCCCTAGAGTGGCGCCTTCATGGCGCTGGATATAGGACCCTGCCGACCCCGTGTCTCCTCAGTTCCTTCTTACTGCCAGTGACGGTCGTTGGAACTGCGATCGCTTGCCTAGCAAGTGCTTCCCTTAGCGTTCTTTCCATAGCGTAGTTAGTAGATAGTGTATATAGTAAGGTTTGGGAGCAGGGTTTCCCCAATCCCTAACCCCCGCCTTGGGCTCCGGGACATGCCGTCAGCCCAAGGCTTTAAACCCTGTGGAACCTGCAGTAAGCCTATGCCAACGAGCGACCCCCACGACGTGCGTCTGAATTGTCTGGGGAAGGCGCACCAAACAAGATTTGCAGGGCTTTCCACCCCAGAAAAGGAGCGAGATTTCCGACAAAAAGTTGCTCATGGAATCTGCTCTTCATCCCCAGTCTGCTGCGGACCGCCAGGACCCGGCACCGAGTGCATCCGTATGGAGTGCCCCGGCATCAGTATGAGACACGGTGCCGAGGAAGGACTCTAGTCTAAGAGATCCTCAGCAGCTGTGCTCTCTGGCACTGCACATTAAGGAGACAACCTGGCACCCCATACGAATACCGAATATCATCCAGCGCATAAGAATGATCCATCCATCCAAACATGAATGCTATTCCTCTTCACTTTATCCACTTGCTGACACTCAGAAACATGGATGTTTCAAGTCATCCTCCATATACATTATAGGAAAATGTTCTCATTCAGCATTGGTCTGTGACCCAGATAGTGCAATTTACTTCTTGCACGCTCCAAAGTCTATAGCAGATAATACCCTTGGGTCCTCTTTCAACTCCTGATAAAGCTTAGGGTACTCCATCATGCAATATACAATTGTATGCCCTCCAAAACAGCAAACAGAAGCTATGCCACATTATACACAGCTATTCCTTGGTGATCATAGCTATGACATGGTAGCTGGGGTCAGAATTAGAATTCCCCCAAACAATCTCAACATTTAAAAAGGCTACACTAACCTCATCTTAGAATATCCTGGTTTCAAAATGTTTGGTTTTTATTACAACTTTATTAGGTTTTTCACTGATTTGTGCAAAGCTCTTTTGGTCTAGGAAATTCACTTAAAAAATAAAATCCTTAAGGAAAAAGGGATATTCCTGAAAGTATAGAAATGAAATGTCAGATGACAGTTGTGCCAATTGGCACATTTTGGTCTTCCAATTGCTGGAATAGTAACAGAACTACTTTAAAGCTACACTTGTGCGTCTAGTTTTTAAATACACAGAACATCTCTAGTATGTAGGAGCAGCCTTCACATCTTGGCGTTCTTCAAGCAGACTTGTAACTACCAAAGTTGATGGCCAGGGGGAGATTGTAGAGACTTTTCAGAAGCACAGTAGTCTACAATGAGAATCCAAAATGGATTTTGGAAATTGGGTAGTTCAACCTAAAAGAACGGATACTTACCTTACAGTAAATGATTTTTCTAGATGGTCTACGCATGTGGATCCCACCCATGGTGCACTTGTGCCCTCTGCACAGGAGTTAAGAAAGTTCTTTAGCAGTGTCCACTAGGAGTCATGCATATTCTTTACGTGCACTCTTGCTCCCCCACCTAAGAGCATAAAGGGAGGGGTGACCCCAACTGCTACTCAATTTCTTTTGCTGCCCAGAGTCCCAATGATAAAACTAAGCTGCAGGAATGGTGGGTGGGTCATGGGATCCACGTACGCAGAACAGCTTGAAGCATCAGTTACTATAAGGTAAGTAACCATTCTTTCATGTTTGAGCTCCTGTGCACGTGGATCTCACTTACTATAATTAGCAAGCAGTTTGATTATTTGGAGGTGAGCGCTACGAGGTTATCTGAACAAAGATTGGAGAACAGCTCTTCTCTAAAGAGTAATGTCTACTAAGTGTGTGAACCAATGACCACAGAGCTGCTCTACATATTTCTATCAGTGGAAACCTGCTGAAGCAAAGTGGTCTGACCTGAGCCTTTTACCATATTCCACAAATAACCTAAGCTTCTTCCTCAACGGTCTTGTTTTGTTTAGGTAATACAAGAGGGCTCTTTCTGACATCCGAAGTGTGAAGTTTTGTTTTGATTATGTAGGAGAAGCAAGAGTCCTAGAATAGAAAACTGGTAAGTGAATATATTGGTTAATGTGAAAATCCTGTATTAACTTGGGTATGAATTTGGGACGAGAGCTTAATGAAAAAGTGTATGGTGGGTAGACATGAGAGCTTGGATTTAGCTAACTCTGGGGGCTGAAGTAATTGCCACTAGAAACTCAGCTTTCATGGATAAGTGATAAATAAAACAAGATACAGACTCAAAAAGACATTGCATTAAAGCCACAAACACTAAATTCAAATGCCAAGGAGGAGGCATTTTTCTAACTTGTGGAAATAGAAGATATAAACCTTTTAGGAGTGATGACTGATGGGGAAAAAAACTGAAGGTCCTTGTCACAAGGTGAACTCACTGCTGGTGGCGCCTCCTCTTGGCCATCCTGGGAATTAGCTCTGCCAGGTGCTGCACCCTCCTCCAGCAGTATCTCCCCTCTCACTCCAGGAACTGCAGCCTCCTTTTTGTGACTTGGCCCTCTGACTAGGTCACTATCGTGGTTTTCCTTTCTGGGGAGGCAGTTTTCTTATGCACTGCCCTGCTGGTGTCACTTCCCCAGTGGCTGGTTAGGAAACAGGCCCACCCTCTACTCTGGGTTCTGGCTCCGGGACCCTCTAGTCAGCAATCAAGGTCTGTTCCACCCTGTACCATGCTGCATTTCCCTGAGCCCTCTCCAAATTTTCTGGTTCTCCCTTCCTTCTCTGGGTCTGCTAGTTTTACCACTCCCTCCTTCCAGGGAGTAACTGCAGCCCACACATCTCTGCAGCCGCCAAACACTTCTCCCTCTTCCCATGTGTGTCTGTCTTCAAGTGGAATTACTCTTCTACGCAACAGGCAAGATTTAAAATCCGGTAAGCGTGGTTGAGGCATCATGGCCAAAACCCAGTATTGCTACCAACTACCTACAAAAATACAATTACTTTTTTTTTTAAGCCAAGAGGCAATAAAAGAAAATATCAAAAATTAACTCTCTCCTAAACTACAATCTTAAAGCTGTAAAAAAAGGGACACTCAGAAGTTCCAACTCTCTGCCAGGATGGTCAGAAGGAACTGACTGACAGTTGGTCACCCCACCGTTTATGGTCTTATGTGGAGAAATGGAAGAGCATGTCCGACCCCTAGTGGACACTGCTAGAGAAAACTTTCTGCATTTCTGTGCAGAAGGCACAAGTGCACCATGAGTGGGACCCACATACACAGGAGCTCTACGAAGACAATACTAAGTTCACATTGAGGACAGTGATAAAAATTCAGATGTTTAATCGTGTGAGGAAAAATGCAAAAGGGAAGTTGCTTGCATTCTCAAATGCTAAACTGCAGGAGATACCTTTTAAAGCTACCAAACGTCTGTGCATGGCCCAAAAACTTTCCAAAGTCAATATGGAACATATGTCCCGTGGTTCGAAGCATTATGTTATCATTGTGACGGTCACAGATTCCCAATACGTAGGTGGCTACGCAGCATCCTGCACAAGAATAGATGAAGTTTTCTGAAGCCTGAAATTAGCAAAAAGTAATGAAATCAGAATGAATCTACCAATGGGAAAAAATGTACTTCAGTTTATCATTCATTCAGAGTTCACTTTTTACCACAGGGATGTGGCTCTGGGCAGCTGACAGTTCTTAAGTAAAAACTTCCCTCAGACTACTTGGGAAGCTATTCATTTAGGAAAAATTCTGTATGCTGTACTGCTAAGGGGAAAGGCAACTTGATAGGTTTTTGGGGACGAGAAGGCAGATAAGGTAGAGAAAAGGCTGTTCAGAGATAAAGCACAAGCAAAGGCCAAAGACATTTGTTTACCAAATCTGCATACCCCTGCCTGGTAGAGATGAAATGTTGCATCCAAAGGAGAAACAGCATGAGAAGGGGCCATATCTTCTAACCCAAAATTAAAACTGAGACCTGTTCTACACTATAGAGTTAGATCAACTTAAGGCAGCTTACGTCAACCTATTTATGTCAGTGTCTATACTACAATGCGGATTCCACTGAGGTAAGTCCTCCGCTACACCACCATAACAACTCCACCTCCACGCAAGGCGTAGCGCTTATGTTGAAATAGTTAGGGTGATGTATTGTCCATGTAGACACTGTTACTTACATTGCCTGTTGGCTGTCAGCCTTGAATTGGGCTGACAGCTGAAGCCCTTCCCACACCCTCGGCTCTTACAGCCAGAGCTGCCAGCCAGGCACCAGGCTCACAGCTGTGAGCCCCGTACCTGGCTGACAGTTTGGACCATCAGAGCTGGGGGTGTGGGGCCTCAGCTGTGAGCCCCAGGATTGCTGGGATCCAGTTGTCAGTGTCCCACAATGCCCCACATTAGTTGGCAGAAGGACGCCTGGTGAGGACGTGCACCGCCAACTGAAAGAGCAAGTGTGGCTGTGAACCACTGCTTCAATTACTGCAGTGGCTGTTCGTTGACTTAAGTCCACTTAATTTTGTCATGTAGACAAGCCCTGAATGTCATGCTTCCCCCCTACTTTTAATTTTGGAGTGAAATTTTTCCTACATTTAGAAGGCATTTCCATAGACATTTCTGAAATGAAACATTAAACTGCTGTTTCCAAAAGACTCCTTTACAATCCTACAGTCAATTTTGATTTCTTTTCTGAAATATATACAGTACAGAAAATTCAACTTCCCAAATAGCTTAAAACAGATTGTTAGAAAACTTATTTAGTGGCAGAATCAGAATAAGAGTTGTATTCTCCTGTAAATTAAAATGTTTACCATTGTAAAGGAAAACTATGGAAATTACCTTTTCATATTCTTCCTCTGTAGGATTATACTTTCGCAGCCATTCTGCAAGTGGCTTGTCTTTAAAAGATCCTGTCACTCCATATTCCACTTGAATTTTCCTAAGTGTATCTGAAGCAGGAACAAGTTCCACCAATCCTATATATAAAAATTAAGTGGTGTATTATATATAGAGAGAGGGAGAGAGCACACACGAGAAAGATGACTGCTCTGGTTTAAATCCTGTTTTTACATTATATTTTCCTCCACCTCTCATTTGGTATGAAGTCTCTTGAAGACATTTGATTTTAAAATGTAGAGCCCAATCCCAGTCTCAAACAGTGAAAAAATATTTCTGAACTTTGTTAGTCTGATAAACCTCTCTGCAGGCAATTTTACAATGTATACTACCAAATATATGTAGCCAAATTAGGCTTGTGTTATTACTACAATCAGTTAAGGTTTGTGGAATATTGTAGATAACTCCTACTTTGATTTCAAAAGCCATCAGCTGGTTAAATATGCAATGTGTGTAAAACTAGTATTGGGTCTAATCATTACTTAATGACTGTAAAACATCTCACGTGCACTCATAAGTAATTTAGATGTCTAACTCCATAGTATAAGTGAAGTGCTGGAGTAGAAGCTGCTCCAAGTCTACTTATTTCTAGAGCAACACAAAATACTCAATATGTGGCACTACAAAGGGCCTTATTTAGGAGAAAGTGGCTATTAAAAAAAAATTTTAAATTCCTTTAGCTAAACCACAAATCCCTATTTGGATAGTAGGTTTTTTTGTTTTGTGGAGAAGGAGGGGAAGAAGCAGAAATCTGTAGTAGAGCTTCCATTTTTGTTCAAGACTGACAAGAAAAAATGAGGCATTACAGGGTATGCCAATCTAGAGCACAGTTTTAAGCTGGGAAGAAATGCTTTCTGTACATTCCAAAAGCAAAGCTTCCGTATTCCGAAAGTAGTTTATTCTCAGCCACATCTATCTGGATGCCAATATTTATAGAACCTAAAGTTGTCATTTGTGCTTTTGTGGGTGCCTTTGGGTCAGACCCAACTGACTTCAAAGAGAGTTGCAGGTTCTCGGTGCTGCTCAAGATCAGGCCCACAATGCATTAGTCAATCATCGCCTGTGAAGGACACCTTCCACTATTTAAGCTCCAAGGCATTTAATCTATTGTGAATCAAATCCAGTCAGAACAAGTGTTGAAGAAAAGGGTGCCTCATTCCTGTGTAAACATTGTAGAGTATGTGGTGCAAAGTTTATTGGATTTTTAAAATTTTCCTTTTACAAAACTAAAAGTATTAATACAGGTACACAAGTACTGATTTTAACCTGTCTCCCTGTGAGTTTGATCATCTTTTCTGATGGACTGATGTAATGGTAGTGGCTTCAAACATTTTAGCAGTTCAATTTTGATCTAAATAGATCTCTGAAAATATTATATGGGGTGCCAGAATTAGTATTGCTCCTATATTCCCTCCTTCCTTCTCAGTTCTGTTTTTCTCCACTGCATCTAATTTGTTTCTCTCTTTCATTTCCATGTATCTTTTTTGTTCCACTGATCTTTAACTGCAAGGATCACCGAGGAGCTCTGTGGTCAAGAGCGGAAGTGTATATCCAACAAACGGAATCAAACTACTGGGTGATTCCAATCAGTTTAGTTTCACAATACTATTACACTTGTAAAGCACTTTTGCTCTTGTGTGCGGCGTTTCCTTCTGGGGGGGGGAGGGGGTCTATTGTTAACGTTCATTGTTACATGTTTCTCCCATTCACGAGAAACCGGTGGGTTTTCAACTGATTGAAGCATGATGCCAAGAATGTGTTGTAGAGCCCTTTAAGGGGAGAAGTGCAGGAATACATTGGGCAGTGTCTATCTGGTTACTGCACCTCGATCTTTTCCAGTTGAGAGGCACTTGAAGATAACCATTCGCAGGTCCAGTCCCTCCTGCAGCCAGATTTTGTCCATAATCTTTATCATTTGTAAAGCCAACATATCTTGTCGCAGATCTTCTCCGACCTTAAATAAAAACAAGCAGAGAAAGGATACTTTGAACAATGAACTAGACAGATTATATCCCCAGTAAGAGACAAACCATACTTTTCTTCTTAAATTGTGAATGACTTGTTTCCTCGGGTGTAGAGAAAAGGGTAAAATGATGGGCCATAATGAAACTTGTATAAACTGAAAATTGGCATTTTATATATACACAGTATACTCAGACATCTCAGTTAGCCCTTGAGATATACTGTTTGAAAGACGAACATAATATTTTTCTTTTTAAACGTTACACTTTCACTCCAAGAAGGGGAGGAGAGGTAAGCTGGTCTAGTTGTTAGAGTACTAGACTCAGCCTTGGGAAACAGATTCAATTCCTAGCTCCACTATGGACAGGGTGTGACCTTGGGAAAGTCACTTAGTGTGTATCTGACTCAATTTCCCATCTGTAAAATGGGCTAGTAGTACTGCCCTACCTCACAGGGGTGTTGTGAAGATAAATACATTAAAGATTGTGGAGCACTAAGATATGACCATGATGGGAGCCATGTAAGTACAAATAAAAGTTTTCAACCTTCTACAAATGTGAACCACTCTTGTGGGGTTAGCTATTTTCATTCATCCAATTACGTAAGTCAGTTTCTAAATATAAAGAGAAGACTTGAGATGCAGCTAATAGCCTGTAGAAATGTGGCAAAGCTAGCTAGTTTTGTTGGCATTAGCTATCATAACCCCATATCTTTCCTCCAGTAGAACAAGAGAGAAAAAAAACAAAAACTTACTTTAAACATAACATTAATTTCTTCTCCCAGAGGATCTGCATTCACCAATGTGACTTTTAGTGGTACTGCATTAGAATTGAAGAAGGAACATGCCTGCAAGTACATGATAGTTTAATCCTTAGAAGGATAATGACTGATAACATTTTTGGCTTTCAAATCAAATAGAATGTTAATAGTTTGCAGATGAGATTTCAAATTGCCAGCATGCCAGAAAAAATTACTAATACTTGGAATGTTTGCATACCCTATAACAATGCAAGTTCTGAGATCGATGAAGTGGCAATATATCACGAAGTAGTTATCTCTAGAGTGCATGGTCTCATACTCCCCTTCCTGAGAGCATCACACAACCAGTAACTAAATGTTGCTGCTTTTGAGAGACCCGCAAGATTTTTAAATTGTGGTGTTGATATTTAATAGACTCAAATCTGACAAGCATATTTAAAAAATCAGGTTAAAATGTTTCATTGCCCCATGATTCACCATACTATACACCTAACATCTTGGAATGGAGTTTAATCTTCCATTCGCTATCTCTTGAATGCCCAGTTCTGACATGCCTGCTCGTTAACAGTAGTGACAACATTCCTCCTTTTGGTCATTCTGCCTCTTCCCTAACAATGTCTTCTATATGCTTGTATACAATCAATTGACATTACATTTCATTGGCATATGTATTTTAATATGCAAGTATCACTAACAAATATATTCCATAACTTGAAATAGATATTTTAAAAAAAATCTTCAATAGGTTGTCTTCCAAGTTGGAACCATTAATTTTTCAGAAATCTGCACACCATTGCCCATTTCTCCTAAAATACGGTGGCAGGGCTGCAGAGAGCTTTTTGGAGTCTGGGGCAAAATATGAAACTGAGGCCTCCCACCCTTCCAAAAAAATTACCACTAAGCGGAGGTGGGGTGTTGGAGAGTGTCTGCATCACGCTAATCTGGCAGCAGTGGCTCCTGTCCCATGGGGCTGGTCCCAGCTCCCTGCTCTGGGTATTGCAACCTGGTACGCAGGGTCACAATGCCACTCAGCTTTTTGCCCAGCTGCCTATCACTCACAACGGAGAGGCCACCAGGCCAAATATCAGTGAGTGTGCTGTGACTGTGTGCGCCAGGTTGCAATGCCACTTGTACTACCCTTTTTGCCCCTCCCTCTTGGTGGCCCTGTATGATGGACATGACGATTACCCTGAGTTTGGTGGGATAAACATGCCCCAAAGAAAACATGTCCATGCCTCTCCTTATGTGCTGTCACAACAGCTTAGATAGTCTGGACACTTTAGACAAAAATCCCTAGATCTGAACATCTCTGGGCTAGAGGTAGAGCATTCTCCATATGCCCCATGATTTTTGGATTTACTGGCTTTATTAGACGGAAGGTCAGTTTAGACAACCAACAAATGGTGTAAGTCCATGCAGGTACTCAGGCTCTTTCACCAAGATGCTTATGGACAATATATCTGCTTACTTTGGGCAGAAACCCCTTGACTTATTTATGAAATGTTTGTATATATGCCGGTATTGCAAGATAGAAAATATCTTAACACACAAAATAATGAATGAATAAAAACAGGGACCGACATTCTAACTGAAGAAGCTATTCAAAGTTGGATTTACTGCTGCCTCTGAACTGTAAATTTGAGATCTGAAGAGAATACAAGTTTGGAGCTTTCGCATATCTCAGTTTCCAACTTTCTATTGATTACGTAGTATGGTTCCTTCAATTCACTTTCTCCACCAGGTCCCTCATGGGGATTAGGACCAATGTTCAGTACATGCGAGTTTGTTTTGGTATCAATTTATTCAGAAGTTTTACAGATTGTCATTTCTCTGCCCCACACCCATTAGAATCATATTACTGTAGCTTTCTCCTGGAAAATTCTTGTTTCTATTGGTTTCTGATTTAAGTGTCAGCAGTGTTGAGGCTTATACAACTTCTGAGATACAGTTCTGAATTTCATGCTGTGAAAAGAGGAACACCAATGTTTTCTTGTTCCAGACAGTCTTCTGCTTGCATTTATAACTTCAGCCTCATAAGGGAATGGGATTATAATCTTATTTTACAACCTTAGTATATGTATTGTGTAATGCATAAGTGTTGTAGTATTAAGCATACAAGACAGTGTATGCAACTTATGCTTCAGAGGCTCTGAAGACTGTCAGAACTTGCATATGTTTTGCAGCTTCACGCTCACTAACCTTCCCAGTTGCATAAAAACTCTTATTTTAAAATAGAATCGTTGCCTCTCTAGCATGGAGTATCTGAGAAATACATCCAATCACACAGCTGGTTAGCTCCATCCCACAATATATACTTCAAAATATTAACAGCCAGTCTTGTACATTTCCTTCTCCTCTGACCATTGCTGGAGGCTGTCTAACTTTTCCATTCACGTGCTTTGAAACTTCCTCTGTTCTCACACAATGTTTTTATGACTTTCATGTATGACCGGGTCCTTGCTGCTATGTAAGGAGAACTCCACTAGTATCTGATGAAGTAGCAAATTAAATCAGACCTTGGTCTGTGTACCAAATATTTCCATAATCTTTGTCTCTTCTCAACAAATTTAATTTTATTGTCTGGTTCTAAAGGCTCTTTATTAAAAAGCTCTCCCACCAGTGTAACACTTTTCATATACATGAAATACTCCTTTCTACACGTTGATTTTCAGGAATTACAAGCATCTTTCCATACTGTACCTTGACATTTAATTCTTTTGCCACAAGGCTGGGATTGAGAGGCAAACGGCATTTGTTCTTCATGAAAAAGGACTGTACACGTTCCATACCACTTTGCAGGACAACCTGAGAGCAAAAAAAATAAAAATGCAGAACTGACATTAATCCATTAAAATACCTACAGGGAAATTTTTGACAAGCAAAGGAATTATGCAGAACAGCAGAGCCAATGCCCTAATTCCTGAAGAGTGCCATGGGATTTTAAGTGACCACAGTCATAACGTCTATTTTACTTCTCATCCAAAAAAAAAAAAAAAAAAAAAAAAAGACAACCCCACCAGTACAGCCCTAATGCCATGCCAGTGAAATTTTTCAGTACTGAGTCTATAAAATTATAAATTTACATTAGCAGCCTATTGCCAGGGCCCCATATATTACACTGGTCTACAATTTTTGAGAAGTCGTCTGCTTCAGAGATAAAATGTGCTATTTATTATGTATTTTGATGTGCTGAATTCAAATATGACAATTAAAACAACTGATTGGCTACTGTTTCTAAGATATTTAAGTTTTTACATTTTATGTCTATGTATATTGTGTAGATAGTAGCGTTTTAATCATAAATTGTAAACCTAGGTCTTTTCATGTTTTTATGGTTGCTTTACATGATAATATTTCACCTGTCCTGTTTATGTAACTTTAAAAATCAGCCAAAGGGTTATATAAATAAAATTTATTATGAAACAAAAAGGCAAAAAACTATTATGTACATAGTTTAGTCCTATTCAGTGTCTACTCGGCGCTTCTTGGCTTCTCTCTTGTATTCATTAAATGGAGCATCTCTTGTCACTGTCCAGCAATAGTCTGCAAGCATTGATGGGCTCCATTTGCCCTGATAGCGTTTCTCCATTGTTGCAATGTCCTGGTGAAATCGCTCGCCGTGCTTGTCGCTCACTGCTCTGCAGTTCGGTGGAAAAAAATCTAGATGAGAGTGCAAAAAATGTATCTTTAGTGACATGTTGCAACCAAGGCTTTTGTATGCCTTGAGGAAGTTTTCCACCAACAACCTGTAGTTGTCTGCCTTGTTGTTTCCGAGAAAATTTATTACCACTAACTGGAAGGCTTTCCATGCCGTCTTTTCCTTGCCACGCAGTGCATGGTCAAATGCATCATCTCGAAGAAATTCACGAATCTGAGGACCAACAAAGACACCTTCCTTTATCTTAGCTTCACTTAACCTTGGAAATTTTCCACGGAGGTACTTGAAAGCTGCTTGTGTTTTGTCAATGGCCTTGACAAAGTTCTTCATCAGACCCAGCTTGATGTGTAAGGGCGGTAACAAAATCTTCCTTGATTCAACAAGTGGTGGATGCTGAACACTTTTCCTCCCAGGCTCCAATGACTGTCGGAGTGGCCAATCTTTCTTGATGTAGTGGGAATCTCTTGCACGACTATCCCATTCGCAGAGAAAACAGCAGTACTTTGTGTATCCAGTTTGCATACCAAGCAAGAGAGCAACAACCTTCAAATCGCCACAAAGCTGCCACTGATGTTGGTCATAGTTTATGCACCTCAAAAGTTGTTTCATGTTGTCATAGGTTTCCTTCATATGGACTGCATGACCAACTGGAATTGATGGCAAAACATGGCCATTATGCAGTAAAACAGCTTTAAGACTCGTCTTCGATGAATCAATGAACAGTCTCCACTCATCTGGATCGTGAACGATGTTGAGGGCTGCCATCACACCATCGATGTTATTGCAGGCTACAAGATCACCTTCCATGAAGAAGAATGGGACAAGATCCTTTTGACGGTCACGGAACATGGAAACCCTAACATCACCTGCCAGGAGATTCCACTGCTGTAGTCTGGAGCCCAACAGCTCTGCCTTACTCTTGGGTAGTTCCAAATCCCTGACAAGGTCATTCAGTTCACCTTGTGTTATGAGGTGTGGTTCAGAGGAGGAGGATGGGAGAAAATGTGGGTCCTGTGACATTGATGGTTCAGGACCAGAAGTTTCATCCTCTTCCTCGTCTGACTCAAGTGAGAATGATTCTGGTGCATCAGGAACCGGCAGTCCTTCTCCGTGGGGTACTGGGCGTATAGCTGATGGAATGTTTGGATAATGCACAGTCCACTTTTTCTTCTTTGACACACCTTTCCCAACTGGAGGCACCATGCAGAAGTAACAATTGCTGGTATGATCTGTTGGCTCTCTCCAAATCATTGGCACTGCAAAAGGCATAGATTTCCTTTTCCTGTTCAACCACTGGCGAAGATTTGTTGCACAAGTGTTGCAGCATATGTGTGGGGCCCACCTCTTGTCCTGATCTCCAATTTTGCAGCCAAAATAAAGGTAATAGGCTCTCTTAACCATAGTGGTTATACTGCGCTTTTGTGATGCAAAAGTCACTTCACCACAAACATAGCAGAAGTTATCTGCACTGTTCACACAAGTACGAGGCATCTCTGCTCACTTTGGCTAAACAGAAATGTGTCCCTTTGCAAAATCAAACACTGACAAATAGAGCACGACACTATGATTTCTAGAGCTGATATAGGGCAATTTGTTCAGCAGAGTGATGTAAGCTTCGTTATGATTGCATCATCCATGACTTCTAGGAATAACATGATGCAATTCATATCATGTATGACGCAATACCAGCTTCAGATTGCATCATTCATTGTTTTGCCTAAAAAGCAAGTACTGTCCAAACCCAGTCAGATTTATTCATAGATCCGGTCAAAGATGTATTTTAGTCATTTCTGGTTTAAATTGAGATCCCTTCCCTTTATAACTCACTTATCGTCCGCCATTCCCAAGTCAAGGGTCGTATATACTGACCCAATAGCATATCTTGAAAACTAGAGCCAATCAACAATTTTAAGCATCATTTTCATTCTCAGTGACCCAGAATTAGTAAAGTTTGACTACATTTATTTCAGAAGCATTTTGGCTGTAGAGCAGTGTTATGAGAGAATGGGGCCAAATTCTGTAGCAACATCAATTTATTTCATTGCCAATTCTTTTCCTCCCATCATAACCACTCCTCCCACACAGCTACGGCTAACAGTTGAAGATTAGTTATTGACAAGTGGTTATTTTTTTTTATTTTTTTTTTATTAAAAACACAGTTATTCTGTTGACAAAATATTTAACATCTGTTGATTAAATACATCTTACTATACTTTTATACAGTGCTGTATTTAATGTGAAAGCTGAGTAAATTTACTTTGAAATTCAAGTCAGTTGTATCCCTCTCTAACACACAATATTAAAAGTTAAGCATACGCACCTGCCTAGCAGATCCACTTGTTTGTTTTACTTTTTCTGCTACCACTCCCAAAAGCTGTACCAGTCTGGTCTGTTTCTCCAGCTCTTCCCTCAGCCCTTTCCCACAGACCGAGAGGAAGGCACCAAGAATATGCTCATACCTTACCCCAAATTTTGCATCATGTAGGGTATCCTTCAGAAGCCTGAAATAGCAGGTATTTAAGTTAGTAGTTTTCCCTACAAAGCAGTATTTCCCCTCTAAAGCGAACATTTTAGCTAGAGTTCAATAGCAAGCCTTTTTTAAAAAGTCCATTAACAAGGGGTATTACACAACACTGCACACACATACATTACTTGCTGTAAATCAGTAACTTAATTCTGAGAACTATATGTGCTTGGTTCTTATGGATTCATTTGGTTTTATTACAAGGAACACTGTTTATCTTTTGCACATTATGCTGACTTGATGCAACATCTATTGATCTGTCATTCTGATTAATGAAATTTTAGCATTTAAACAGCAAATTACTTTGTTCGGAAAACACCAATCTGACTGTAATTAAATAATGAAAGAAAGACACGTTCTTACCAATATACACAGTGTGCTATCTGAATATTTCCTAATGCCCGAGCCAAAATGAATCTGACTAAAGAGTTGTCCAGGTATGTTTCATACTTCAATGCCTAAATGTAAGAAAATCAGTCAATTTTTAGATTAGATTATACACTGCCTTTGGTTGTTTTGGGGGGTTACCTATAACATTTAAAGTTCAGTGGTGGCCAGAGGATCTTTAGGGTCTCAAAGCAAAGCAGAGTAAACCCACTAGCTTTGCCTATTAATTCCAGATAATCTGTGAAAGTTTAGGTGATTGAAAAACTAATATAAAACAGACACCTGAAGCTGTAGTGGTATTTTAAAGAGTGACCATTTAATAGACTATATATTAAAACAAATTACCAAGGATGTAAGTAATGACATTTCCCCCACTTCTATCCTTACTCAGGAGAATACAAATAGCCAAAATAAATATCTGCCCCAGATTGACTTATGTCATTGGCCTATTGCCTTTCAAGGTCACTCCCTCACTTTTTGCTCAATAAATCGGCTTATGCAATTTATACGGGATATATAAAAAAAAAAAAAAAAGCCTTGTTTGTCACACAAGACCCTTAAAACGTTCTAAGTATGGGGTTGCCAGATTTGTATCTATATTATCTAGCATTTCAAATGTGTCCTATTGTAAGGTGGTTCCCGCTCCAGTGCCTCTGTATACATACCAGCCTGGTTTGAGACCAAAAAACCCACCGCACTTAACTATGCGATTTGGTTCCCCTCTCTTCTATACTTTAAGAAGCCACCCATATCCTTAAGGGAAAATCCAATGTTTGCAGCTACATGGGGCATCCTGCAATGTGTTAAGATGATTACAGCGTCTGATCTTACTAATTCTCTTCTCATACTACTATGGGATAACCTGTGCCTCAGGATCAAGGCCAACTCCACAACGCTTAGACAATTTGGATAGAAAAAGGATTAACAAAAATTAAAGATACAATACAAGGTGATAAATTGTTATCATATAATCAAGGGAGACCAAACAACAGCTACCACTGTGTCTCAGTTCCTTCCTTCAGCAGCTATGCTTAAAGATTCATGCAAAGATAGGGAGACAATTGCTCTATTTCAACTCTCTCACCTCTAGAAGAGCATGTTAAGAAATAAGGAAACAAAGTTAACTTTGGAGGAATTACTTAAAGTGGCTTAATGCTTTGCAGTACCCTCTCAATCTCAGTCTGAAAGAAAAACGCGGGGGGTGGGGGGGGAGGAAGGGGAGGGAAAACAACAACAAAAACTGCCTTAGTACCACAACAGAAATCCGGGAGGATAACTGGCTTAACATGAAAGATATTTCAAGTTCTTTATCCTTGCAACTCTTCCAGGACAAAATACAAAACGGGCATTACTGAACTGCAGAACTTTTGTTTAAGTCTCGATTGGTAACACACGGCAAGTGTTAGAGATGCAAAGAGCCACATGCCAACATTTCACACATCCTCTATACCTGTCAAAAAATGCATGTGTTCTGGATCACCATATTCAGAGCGCTCTCAAACATGAAGTGTCACCATCCTTCTTTGTCCAACCTTGTGTAGTATAGGGGTGCTGGATGATTTGTTATTATGTAGTATAGGGGTGCTGGATGATTTGTTATTACCAGAGGGCATGAAGAAATGGATTGCAATAACTATTGTAGTGGCCAAAAGTTATTTTGAGAAGATGGAAATCTTCAATTCCTCCTTCATACACAGACTGGATTAGTGAGAGTACTCTACTACTGCATTATTGGAAAAAAATACTGTCTAATAGAAGCGCTTGGGAAAAAAATACGAGGATGTCTGGTCACACATGAAAATTATTGCTTGCTTTTGCAGTTTAGTATAGATTAGTCCCTGATACTCACAGGTTGTTTGCTCACTTATTTACCTATTTAGTCATTTTAGTAATTGATGCTTTGCATGACCTTTATGGAGTCAAGCCCGCCCCAAAAACCAGGTTTTACAAATAATAAATGTTGAATTTTGTTATTTATATGCTATTTCCATCTTATGTATTTATATATGTTTTGTTTCATTGTGTTTATTTTTATTGTTTTTATATAAAAGTTTAAAAAACTGACCATTTATTTAGTACACAGAAGTCCCACACGAATCCAGAAGGTGCTAGTATAATTCTATTTTTTGTTCTACCTAACCCAGAATGTAAACTAAGTAATTTATTTAATAGATCACTCACAGCACCTCTCTGTTAATGGCAACACTAATTGAAAAGGACCCAGATGTGTGTTTTCACACCCAAAATATACAAAAAATGATTTTTTGTTTATCGACAGTTCTAATGTTGTAAAACGTACAAAAAGGGTAAGCAATAAATGTCACCTGCACAAACTGGGGGAGGAAGTCTGTTAACTCATCATCACTTATTGCCTCAATCCAATTCACAGCTGTGGTTCGCACTTCCTGATCTGCAAACCTGCAAGAGCATCACAAGTCCACACTCACTGTTTGTTTTTAACTTCAGCAGAGATACACGACTAAATCTTGGGAACTAACATTTTTTATTGTTGTAGTGCTTGCACGCCCTCAACAGTATCAGGCCCGCCACATAGAAGGCACGGTATAAACACACAGGCGCAGGGATGCCTACCTCTCTAACAATTTATGGTCTTAGCAGCTTGCTTAGATAGCAAACCTATTCTCATAGTAAAAGGATAGATTTTGTGGTGAGCCACTTATGTCTACTCTTGTAATGTCACAGTAGGATGTCGATTTGGCTGAGTTTATCAAAGAAATTAAATTAGCTTTTTAACTTTAGACAAGGTTTTTTTTGGGTATAAAAATTTAGGCCATATTTTACACGTGAAGAAAATTCAGATAATCCTCCTATGAAAGATAGTTTAGAAGTCATCTTTTGTTAGTAATCAAACCTTTTCTGTGCACTTTTTTTAACTAGAAACCCATTCAGTAGCTATCTCTAACTATGCAAGCCGAACAGAAACAATTTAAGTTAATGGAGGCTATAACTTGTAAACAAAATTACAGAATGTGCAGTGGACATTAACTTGTGTTAATTCAACAGCTGATGACCAATTCTACAGTGAATTACAAATGAGCATGCTAACTATCTGCACAATACAACAACACTGGGGAAAAATTAAACATCCAATATAATTTATGGAGTTCACTTACTTTGAATCCAGTAGTTCCACAGCAGTCAAAGGAGGTAGGGGAGGCCACTGCTGAAGCAGTGAGTATATTTCAGGAAGACTTGCCCAGTCCCAGTGTGGGGCACTAGCTAATATTTTTGGAAGGCTTTGTGTGTGTCCATGGCAATACTGTCGCTTCTCCCACAAAAATTCTTTATCTTCCTTTGATAGCCTGCAGACAGTCCAAACAGCAGTTTAGTTTATAAGAATGACTATCATTACTCAGAAGAATACCAAAGCACTTGCCAAAGTACATACGTAGGTCACTTCATCTACCGCCAAGTTCGAATACAACCTAAAAGTTTAAAAGTAGGCAGTGAGGAAGATACCGCTGAAATGGTAGATTGTTTCTCAAAGCAATCAGAACTTTATCGTTTTAAGTTTCATCCGAAATTGAGCAGCGCCGAACGCCATACTTCAGTGTTAGTTCAGCACGGATGACACAGGAAGACTGCCACGTACAATATCCTAATTTCTCCTAGTGATCTCTCAAGCGTATATAGCGACTTCAAAAAACTTATCAACTGTTCTGTGAAAAGTTAACTTACTACATAGATTCCCCCCAAAAATGGGTTCCTGTGTTTCCAGGTCTACTGAAACTCTTCATAATGAGAGCTGCACACCTAAACCCAGGCACACAAGCCTCATTTATGCGAAAGAAAGGGGGCATATGTGGCTGTAGATTATGTGTCAGCCTTTTGTAAGGAGGGCAAGTTTTAGGTGATAACAAGCAACACTGTGTCCCATCTTCTTCCCAGCTAGGGGAAAAAAAGTCAGGATATAGTCACATAGGAGGCTCCCCTCACAACAGCATTTCAGTCTTATTAATGGAGAATGTTGTGCTGTTTATGAAGTTAAGACGGTTAAACGTATTTTAAATACAGAATCCTGGCCAGTAATCCTGTTGTAATAGAGGAACTGATGTTAACAGATATGGCATTTATAAAATTTTCTCAGGTGCCCCCCTTAGTAGAACTCTAGTCTCCTATTTTCTCCTTCCTTCTCCAGTTCTCTTGTAGCCTTGCAACATTTTAAATAACCCCTGCCCTCATCTCCCAAAAGCCAGAAATTCATTCACAGCACCTGCCAGGTTATTAATTTGCCACCGCTGTCCTACAGTCTGAAGAGCTCCAAGCAAGCACATTTTGCAGAAAGGGGTCAAAAAGAGAAAAAAGTCTAGTATAACAAGGGAGATGCCAGGGTACAAGCTGTGGAAAAAAACAAGTAGGTGTTGTAATTTCAAGACCACTGTTTTCTGGGGTACATACAGAACACTGAAGCCAGTCACAGGACTTCAAAAACACTAAACTAATATTTCAGACTAGTACAGAGGAAATTTAACTAAAGTTATGTACTTAATTCCCTCTTCACAGAGTTCCTTACATGTAGAAAGATAAAATATTGCTACAATAGATTAACATACCCAAGGGTGCCATCTTTGGCAAGAATAGCAAGAAGACGCTCCTTTACATTTTTTTCCAATGTTTCTATTGAATGATGTACCAAACCGTTTGCAGCTTGAGGAATTTTGTATACAGTATCAAAAGCCAGGGAGGGAAAGTCAACCTGAAAAATTAAAACAGAAGCCAGTCTTTAAAAGCTTTCAGAAAGCTGAAAAGGCTCCCTTAGCGCTGAACTACTGCATCACTGTTTTTACTAGGGCTGTCGATTATATAAAAAAAAAAAAAAAAAAAAAAAAAAAAAATCACAATTAATCGCACTGTTAAACAATAACAGAATGCCATTTATTTAAATTTTTTTGATGTTTTCTACATTTTCAAATATATTGATTTCAATTACAACACAATACAAAGTATACAGTGCTCACTTTATATTTTTTATTACAAATATTTGTGCTGTAAAAAAAGAAATAATATTTTTCAATTCACCTCACACAAGCACTATAATGCCATCTCTTTATCATGAAAGTTGAACTTACAAATGTAGAATTATGTACAAAAAAACCCTGCATTCAAAAATAAAACAATGTAAAACTTTAGCGCCTGCAAATCCACTCAGTCCTACTTCTTGTTCAGCCAATCACTCCAACAAAACTAGTTTGTTTCCATATGCAGGAGATAATGCTGCCAGCTTCTTGTTTACAATGTCACTGGAAAGTGAGAGCAGACATTCACATGGCACTGTTGTAGCCGGCGTTGCAAGATATTTACATAGCAGATTCATATGTCCCTTCATCTTCAACCACCATTCCAGAGGACATGCATCCATGCTGATGACATGTTCTGCTCGATAACGATCCAAAGCAGTTCAGACCGACTAATGTTCATTTTCATCATCTGAGTCAGATGCCACCAGCAGAAGGCTGATTTTTCTTTTTTGATGGTTCGGGTTCTGTAGTTTCTGCATCAGAGTGTTGCTCTTTTAAGACTTCTGAAAGCATGTTCCACACCCCGTCTCTCAGATTTTGAAAGGCACTTCAGATTCTTAGGTTGAATGCTGTAGTTATCTTTAGAAATCTCACATTAGTACCTTCTTCGCATTTTGTCAAATCTGCAGTGAAAGTGTTCTTAAAATGAACAACATGCTGGGTCATCATCCGAGAGTACTATAATATGAAATACATGGCAGAATGCGGATAAAACAGAGCAGGAGACATACTATTCTCCCCCAAGGAGTTCAGTCACAAATTTAATTAACGCATTATTTTTTTAAACAACGTCATCAGCATGGAAGCATGTCCTCTGGAATGGTAGCCGAAGCACGAAGGGGCACACGAATGTTTAGCATATCTGGCACATAAATACCTTGCAATGCCGGCTACAAGAGTGCCATGTGAATGCCTGTTCTCACTTTCATGTGACACTGTAAACAAGAAGCTGGCAGCATTATCTCCTGTGAATGTAAACAAACTTGTTTCTCTTAGTGATTGGCTGAATAAGAAGTAGGACCAAGTGGACTTGTAGTTTCTAAAGTTTTACACTGTTCTGTTTTGGGTGCAGTTATGTAACAACAAAAACCCTACATTTGTAAGTTACACTTCCACCATAAAGAGATTGCATTATGGTACTTGTATGAGGTGAACTGAAAAATACTATTTCTTTTGTTATTTTTACCGTGCAAATATTTGCAATAAAAATAATATAAAGTGAGCACTGTACACTTTGTATTTGTATTGTAATTTAAATCAATATATTCAAAAATGTAGAACAGGAAAAAATAGTTAATAAATTTCAATTGGTATTCTATTGTTTAACAGTGAGATTCAAACCATGATTAATCGCAATTAATTTTTTTAATCGTGATTATTTTCGAGTTAATCGCATGAGTTAACTGCGATTAATCGACAGCCCTAGTTTTTACATTGGTATTTTGGTTTGGTATCACCTACCATAGCCTGCACAATGAAGAGGTTCCCGTGCCCCCCCAAAATGATATCAATCTATTTCTGCCGACAGACAAAATTCTTGATCATGTATGGCATTCAAACAGTATATATTCAAGTCAAAACAAAAACACTAAACTAAATCAGAAAAAATACTACCTGCAAAACTATTTTTTCCATGAGATTTCTTCTTTTATGGGCAGTTCCTGATGCTGGAGTCACATGTGATGAAGTCCAAAGGTGTAAGAGCTTAGTCCCACAAGTTAACAAACTAAGAACACAAAAGGAAAAAGCACAGTATTTCAGTAACCATACCTTGTCTCTACTCCTCAAAAAGTTAATTAGTTATGAGAAACAGTAAGAAATCTGGGAAGCAGATCAAACACCCATTAGAAGAAGATGGTAACTCACAAATGATAAAAATATTAATCTGCTAGATCATAATTTAAATGGACTATCAGTAGGTTCCCTATAATGACAAAAATGTGTCACAGAATATAGATGTTCTCAAACTGAGAGCAGGCCGAGTATCAAATGATAACCTTCCTTGAAAGAGGGAAACTGTTCTTATTCCAAAGAGGTTCTATATTAAGCTTCTGAATTCAGAGGGAACATTGGAAGCATGCCATTTGTTGGCAATTGTGATTTTGAGCAGCCAAACAAAGAATATGATCGCTACTAAGAAGAATTTCATTCTCCTATATGTTCATCTGACTATCTTCCATATTTATTTTTCAAGTCCTCAAAATGCTTGAGCCTGTGAACAGCTCTAAGCTGGCAGAGGCAGAAAGATAAAGTTCAATATTGAAATGGTGGACTTGACTAAGGGAAAAAAGTTTAGCCTCTCAGATAAATAAAATGGAGCACAGGTTGCCCATGTGGAGCAAATAAAGCTTGCAGACAAAGTAAATATTCTACAGGCAACAATCCTGCACCAACAAGGGCCTTGGGACCTTGTTTCATCTCTAGCTTCTATGATTCGATCAAATCACATATTGGTTTAGCTGCAGATGCAACATTTTGCAAATAACTTCACATTCCTACTAACCAATTATACTAATTAGTATGAGTCACTGCAATTATATATTTACAGAGTTCTAACAGTGTGCTGGGCATTGTACAGAACAGAGAATGCCTGCCTCAAGTAGTCAAAAAAAAATATTCTAGTCAATACAGTTTAATTTCATGAGAAAAATGTAAGGGGACGATCAAGCCTTCAGTGTGTTGGGGAGAAGGGGCTGGGAAGGAAGAGGGGGAGGAGAGAAGAGGCAGTGATACCTTAGTCTTCATTAATGAGGTTCATAATGAAAAAGAAAAAACCCCAAACCACCAGCTAATTGTGCCACTGAAGAACAAATAAACACAGAGTTACACAGTATTCTTTCAAGCACTTGTTCAATCCCTTATGTGGTAGCAAGAATGGAAGAGCTGTATCCTTTCCAAACCCACACTTCATCACAAGTGCTTCCAATCTGGCTTTAGATTCTCACAGCACAGTAATGACCTTTGAATCTTCAATGTTCTAGTTAGCAGCAATTTTTAGATCCCCTTGTTATTGATGTTATTTGAAAATGCAGCTGGAGTATTTGGCTTGTATCCCTCAACTACCTTGGCCTGCATTCAACTGTAGTAGTCCACTGTCAGTCTCTGCTAGCATTTCCACATCTACTGTATGCACATTATTCATCCAATTTTGGTCCAACATTCTTTTTGACCCTTGTGCTTCAGGGAGTTTAAATAGTTCTCACGTGACGTACGATATATCCATCTCTCTGCTCTTCAAACTGTTGATAGGATTCTCTCCAAGTAGCCCAACATTACGATATAATTAGATTGACAACTTGACATTCAGCTGAAGATAAGCACTATCCTATTTGGTAAAAAACTTAGATGCAGGATCATAGGACCAGCTCCTTAGCTGTAGAAGGGCAGTTGTGTGTCCCTGACAATAGGGGGTCCTGAGGTAACATACAACCACTGTAATGCATCACTCCTTCATGAACAGTGCAGTGGGTGTGGTCAGAGCACTCCTGTGCTGCAGAAATCCCAGCTGCTGGAATGGTTTCAGAGCAAGTCTACACTGCGAGAAAAAAAAACTGTGACATTAAGTGTCACAGCCCAGGACAGCTGGTTTGGGCTCTGGGGCTGAAAAATATCAATGTAGCCCAAGTCTAAATGTCTAGGCTGCAATTTTATAGGCCAAACCCTGCAAGCCCAAGTCAGCTAACCCAGACTAGCCATGGGTGTTTTATTGCAGCGTAGACATACACCCGTCAGCAACCGTAAGGGTAAGTTGCAGAAGCCTTCAAGCTGCTTCAAGCTGTGCCTGGGGATTAGCCTGGGGCAGATCAGCTCAAGATCAGAGGAGCACAAAGGTGATTTAAGGTTACCTTTGCATCTCCAGCCTGAGCTTTGCTCCTCAGCTTTCCTGAGCAAGGTTTGGATCTGGGCTAGCGGTCTTCAGTGATGCAGAGTTTTCTAACATTTACCACTTTATCTTTACATTCCTTTAATTGCAAACTTACTACACCTTGTAAAAGTTATTTTAAATCCTATAATCCAGATTTTAGTCATTAAATCTGGTAAACAATGTCTGATCCATCTTCTGATTCTTCTTCCAGGAGGCCTCTGAATATTCCCACTTGTGGAATCAAAGCACCTTATGAGCTTCTGGAATCTCCTAGCCTATATTGGCCACTTACCCCTCCCTCATGGAGGATTCCAAGTGGAATGGCTCCAACTGCCTTTTAGTTCCTGCTGAACAGCTGAAGGTTTAAAACTCAGTGTTCAAAATGTTTCCCTTAGTTTTAATGGTCTCCTGCCCCTTTGTACCTACTTTTGTTTATAGTTAAGACTGCTGCTTTTCATTTAAAAAAAAAAATAAGGAAGGTTTCTTTATGGCAGAGGCACTGTCTGGATCAGCAAAGCCCATGAGAGCTGCCTCAAAATCCCTGATGGTGTAGGGTCTTCAGACCTAGTTGACTAAAATTGGTATGGTGCAAGTCCAGCATTGATTTTAAAGACCCACTCCAAGTTGTTATTTATATTATTGTAGAGAGTAGAGGCCATGACTAAGATCAGGGTCACATTGCACTAGATGTAGCTCTATGTCCATCTTTAACAGTATGCAGGTCCCTGAGCTTATCACTGAGTTCAATGTCAAGTATCCAGCACCAATAACTAGGGACTGAAGAGTTTCGTGCTAATGTAGCTTTGTGTCCAGCATTAGTGGTACCAATGTCCCCAGATCTATATTGTCAACTAAGTCCTTTGCAAAAAGAATCCAGCACTATTAAATACGTGTGCACGTACAGGGGGAGAACACTAGTTACTGGTACATAAAAACTATCCTAAAAAGACAGAGAAATTAAATACCTTGATCATTTATACTTTCCTTTAAACTGACCCCAGATTATTATACTTAAAAGTCACCACTGTTCAGTGTCTATAAAACTAGAAAGCCTTCAGTTCTAGTTTGTCTAATCTCTGGATGTAAATTTGTGAACCAGTAAATTTTTCCTAAATGTGGATAGGCTGGAAGTGATCTTTGTTACTTACAAACTATATTTGTTTTGCTCAGAGCTTCCATAATCATTTTAACTACTGCATAAGCAACTTACAGAATTAGTGTACTACATTAGTAACACTAAGACAGCTTAAATGTATAAATCAATTCTATCCACTTTTTATTTAGTTATTTTTTTTGTAGACAGGATTAGAGACATTGTATTTGAGTTTTTAGCTCTTTCAAAGTTTGATATGGTTTATCAAAAAAAACCACAACACCACACAACTTACACCAGAGTAATAAGACTAGATGTTGCGGTCATGTGAAGACTGGAGACTAGAAGAGACTGACTGCTTTCTAGACCACTAAAAATTGAATTTCACAAAAGGAATGTAAAGGAGAGTCCCAGATGCCATTTTTAAAGAGCCTCTCTTTTCCTCCAATCTCCATTTAAGAGCACTGCAAGAACTGAATTTCTCTCAATGATATACAGTCCCAAAGAGTTGTTCATATATAAGTTCAATGTCCTGGCTGAAAAAGGTTTCAGACGATGCCCTATTTGTTCAAGGTGATGAGCTGGATGAAAGAGCTCTTAACTTTGAGTCAACTCCTGCTGAGCAAAGCAATGGAATTTAGCTGCACTAAAGCAAGAGTTATGCTACTGGGAAGAGATTGGAGGCCTTGTGAGAGAATGAATTGAGGTCCCCAGAACTAAAAATGCCTCATTGAGAAAGCTACAGTCAACTTATAGTTTCTCTCTGCACAAAAGTATCGTGCTAGGACAAAACTAACCCATAAAAGACATGTTACGCAAGCAGTGTTTTCTTCAGAGAGCTTGCTGCTCTGTGGTGTCTGCTTTACTTGCTTGGTGTGTCTGCCCTCTATGCGGTGTTGCACTGTGTAGCTGGTGTCACATGGTTGGACCAGTGCTTGTGAGCGCACTATGAGCAAGCTGCTCTGACCAAATCTGTTCTACCACCACATTGTTACCAGCTCCTGTCTGCTTAACACTTGTATACATAGTGAACTTGTCTGCCTTTCACACCTTCTAGCCCAGGGGTCGCAACCTACGGCACGCGAGCTGATTTTGAATGGCACGCGGCTGCCTGCCGCAGTTCTGACCCCCAGCCGCACTCAGCCCCCCCGCCCACCGCTCTCCCCTGCTGGGGCAGGAGGCAGAAGTTTTATCCTGCAGCAGCCAAGCTCCCCTCCTCCCCCGCTTCTTCCCCAGCTGTGGTGCAACCTGCTTTCCTGCCCCTCCTCCTCTCCTTCCCTGCGCCGGCCCTTGCTGCTCCGCAAAAGCCCCACGGCCCCGCTCTCCCGGCCGGAGCTCCAGCCGGTGTGCGGCAGCCCCTTGCTAAAGCCAGTCCTGGGTAAAGGAGGCAGAAAAGAGGTAGGGACGGGGCCTTGGGGAAGGGGGTGGAACAGGACATATCCCTTCCAGCCCCCCCCCCTCCCCCCCCCCTCTGCCCTGCCCTCTGGCGCCCCCACACCCCTCCAGCCCTCTGCCCTGACCTCTGAAGCCCCCCACAGCCCCAGCTTTCTGCCCTGCACCCCCCCACACACACCCCTCCAGCCCTCTGCCCTGACCTCTGAAGCCCCCCACACCCACCCTTCTGGAGGTGTGGGGGGCTTCAGAGGTCAGGCCCCACTCAGCCCGCTGCCGGCTTAGCAGAACAGAACGCCAGGCTGGCAGCGAGCTGAGCAGGCTGATGGCGTAAGATCAGCATTTTAATTTAATTTAAATGAAGCTTCTTAAATATTTTGAAAACCTTGTTTACTTTACATACAACAATAGCTTAGTTATATAATATATAGACTTATAGAGAGAGACCTTCTAAAAAACGTTAAAATGTATTACCGGCACGTGAAACCTTAAATTAAAGTAAATAAATGAAGACTCGGCACACCACTTCTGAAAGGTTGCCTACCCCTGTTCTAGCCAAATGCCCCTGATGCTGTTCATTAAGTGCTATTCTCTCCCTCCCTATAGAACGTTCTGTCAGTGGAGAAAGGAGTACATTTTTTAATTTCGTAGATAATGTTGGACAACACTACTTGTACATACATACATACATACATACATACATACATACATACATACATAC